GGTCCTCACGGACATATATTCCGGATCCAATCAGTTTACGTGAATTACTTAGAACCAGGTTCCTTTCTTCCACCGTGTTGAATGTAACCTTTAGGAGGCGGTTTTTCTGAGGACTTTCGGAATCCGCCTTTTTTCCTATTCTATAAAGCTTACAAATACTAACTCCTGAAACTGTGTCTGGGAGTAGTTTACTTAATGATGTCTTAATATGATTGAGATCATGTTCAAATCTTGCCTTTGGTTCAGTATCTGAAGATTCTCTTATCTTATGAAAAATGACTGATCTATCAGAGAGATCTGTCTTGTCACGCGGTGAGGATTTTTCTTCTGATAACATCCCTTCCAATGTCTTGCTGACCAGCTGCGTTTTGCCTACAGCCTTTTCCTTCTTATTTTTTTTCTTCTTGCCGAAGTCCATTTGTCACCACTCAGAACAGCCACACCTGGACTGTGTGGAACGGTGACAGTTTTATCCAGATCTTCCATTTCGACTAGAGGTGTATGACTGCCGATGACAATATCAAGCGACACTTCATTCCTCGTTAATGTCAACGGAGATTTCACGTTCCCGTCAACCGCAGTCAGGTGTTTAATGGGTCCAGTAGCAGCACTTACTACACTGACACATTCTTCATCGTCAGTGCTCCTGTGATCAGTGCTTCCGCTATCGTTTTTCTTGCAGGCCAAAGCCAATAGGCCCATAGCCTCCTGTATTAGTACCCTTTTATTCGTACAGCAGAACATACAAAGCCAATGCGAGTTAGGCTCCGAGCATCATTTGTAAGCCGTCGGACTTAGTCGTGTACACATTTTGTGATACCACTTTTTACAATCGTCACACTGCATTCCCTCCTCAACGGAGAACAAACAATTTGGTTGCCCACATTTGTGAGTCTTACCAACCATTGTAATTCGACTTGAAAGGTTTGAAAACAAAAAATGATAACAATGTGAACACAAGTGTTAGTCAAGGACTAAAAACAGGTACTTAGGACAAAACTTAGCAAAAAATTTCAAACTTTAACCAAAGAACTCTTAGTTAAAGTCGACCAAGAATGCTTTTTGGTGCAGTAAGTACCCAAAGCAAGTATAATCACAACAAGTACAAAAATCACTGCCCTTTTTGAAACTAGCGCGGCCTTCTTTCGTACTAATTAAAACCATCTACATTCATATCTTATAAATTATCAACCCAGCTATGTAATTTACTACAGTGGATATTGTATCATTTGTATCAATTTGATCTTGCCTGTAAACTGGCATGCCTCATGTAACGAACTGTTATTTGAGAATAAATTATTATTATTATTATATATGTTTAACTTGTGCCTGTTGTTATTGCTCGTGCTTCTGGCTGATTGCGGAATATATTTCCCCGTCTCGAACATGGGCTTCTCTCTCTAGTTAGCGGGGCTGGGACGCATCAGAATAGCTAGCTCATTGGTCTTTGGTCAAAGAGACTTGTTGAACTCGTAATCGCTTAAAACATTGCGAATTTGGTGACTAGGTTTGCGCAAACATTGATCCGTTAAAAGTGGAATTATTACTCGAGCAGCACCTTAAACGTATCCAGATGTTAGCAGATACAAATCCTACGCCTAACATTCAATCATTCACTTCTAATCCTGCCACAATCATAAAACATCCTTACAAAATATGCTCCACATCACCACTGATTTCGAAAGTGACCAGTGTTCAACCAGTAAATGAAAAGTGTAGTCGTTAAATTTCTGAGTCATTGCGCAAATGTATCAGTGCAACATCTTCAAAAAACTTTGTTCAGCTCGTTACACATTGTTTCACATTTCAAATTACAAAAAGTCAACATTTATATTTACTGTTAAAAGACTCAGTAATACACTTCAATCGATCAACATATACACTTTGACCAAATATTTAATGCGATTTTGTATATTCAGTCACAAAACACTGGATCCCACCTAATCGCTTACATTAAATGTTTGTCTTGAAACTTAGCTTTATCTTTTCACAGCTCATGATTATGTCACTATGGCATGACGATTGAGCATTGTATAAAACAACTATCAGTTACAAGTACCACTCCTTTCTTTCTGTTTGATAAGAACAATTCCTTTTACATTGAGTAGTGATAAGATCAAGGACTTCAACTGTGGCTGGTCGTTTTGTGTGTGAGTGAGTACGCAGATGAGTGTATATCTTGTGTGCCGAATATTGTGGTTTTTATTATCTGTCTGAATCAGTTCATAGGTAAAACTATGTGTAAGCATTCTTCTCAAAAATCATATTCACACATTTTAGTTATTTCACACGATTATACTCAACACTTCAATGACACTTCGAGTCAACTGATCAATATAGACCGTAAAACAATTATATAACATCGCTTCGAGAGAAAACAAGACTGACAGGTCCTGGGTTCGAGTCCCGCTTGCGAGATCGTGGATACGCACTGCTGAGGTGTACCATACTAGGACGAAATGGCCGTCCAGTGCTTCCAGGTTTCCAACGGTGGTCTAACATCAATTGATTCATGATCTCAATCAAAAAAACTTAATAATCTCCACAAAACCTATACTGACAACAAATTATTATGTTGACATGTTCATAACCGAGTACAAATGGAAAATAATATAACGTTAACAGAAAGCTGCTGAGAGAGAGAGTTTACTATACATCAAACCATTAGCAATAATTGTTACCTTCCAAACTGAATTCACACTGAGTTACACCTTGAATCTTAGAGTACAGTTGTACTTCCCTAATTTCCGTAGGAATCTGAAAAGAAATATTGGAAATGTCAAACACTGATATTCAATAATATACACACTTTGAAATGATCTGCATTTTAAACACCTAATCACACAGAATATTCAACAGTGAACTTTACGAACAGCTTATCTTTAGAAGACGAAATAAAGCTTGACAGAATATGACTGTTTCCGTACGGTAGTACATGAAACAAGATTAAATTTCCATTCAATTATGTAACTTACATTCTCCTAATAAAAAGATATCTTCCCATTTTGATGTATCATACTAGTTACCTTGGCTCCAAGATCTGAAAACACAAGACTATCGATATTTAAAATAATGAAGTAATAATAATGAGATGTTATTGCTAAATGTGACACTGTTATTTGTCTACTCAATAAAAGGATCAGATTTAAGCAACTATTTACTGTGTTATCTGAAATGTGTTGTCTCGTTGAATTAGTAATTAAGTTTATCAAGTGAACGTCGTTTAAATGAAAATATATACTTTGACCGCTCCAAAAACTTAATGGACTCTAAGAATACATAACAAGTGTAATGAACCATTCGTTTACAAATGAAACTTGAGAATTTGATTGCTCACTAAACAAAACGGTAAATCAAACCTAGTCCCATTCAAAGACAAGATGATCTCACTGTATCGCACTACTGTGATATGTGGTGATGAGTGGTTAGGTGAGTGAGTGAGCGAGTGAGTAAGTGATTGAGAACGAGATGGTTTCAATCAGGTGTTAAGACTGTGTGAACTAATTCGATGTTGATAGTGCATATGGATGTGTGTATTGTGCGCATTGTATTGTCCGTAGAGAGTAGTGTTGTCCGGAATGGTGTAGTGTATTTGTGTGAGGGTGAAGCGAAATGTTGATAGTGATGAATTAGTTTTGTGCATTTGCTATCACTGAACCTTTTATGTAAGTGTATTGGATGGGTGCCATCTGTGTATCTTTGCCTGTATTTAATGCTGTAAAGTGTGGACTGTGGTTCTTACGCTCAGAACGTTGTTTTTCTTTTTGTTATTGGAAAGAGAATTACAAGTGAGAGCACGAAATTTAGTTAGACAAAGTGGTTGCTGCCGAACGACGTTATTGAATAAGTGCCTGAGGTTATTTTTAAGTAGGATGTTGACTCACCATGGGATTCGTACCCACATCATAGCCGTTGACTATGACTTGAGTCACACCATAACCACCAGCGTGAGCAGAGTCAGTGGAAAAAATAAGAGTGGCTTCTCGGGGATTTTATAGATTTATTTGGTTACGTTCAACCTTCGCCTTCCGTTTTATTTGGCACGCGATCCTTTGTAGCGGTGTTCATAATCAATCCCAACTCGACAGCACGCTACAAATGGTCGTCAGATTGAGTCGCATCCACATCATAGCTGTTGACAATGACTCGAGTCACACCATAACCACCAGCGTGAGCAGGGTCAGTGGAAAAAATAAGAGTGTAAATAGATGTAGGACAAAGATGGATACGAGTGGGATAAAGGGAGGTTAAAGTGAAAAAGAATGTTGATAGTGACGAGTTGGTTTTGTGCATTCGCTATCACATGTTGGCAGTCGCTTCTATGTTAATTTCTGAACAATTAGATGAGATCATTATCATTAAATTCTCTAACATACTATTATTGTATATTCATTTCAAAAGATGCTAACAGTTGACAAAATGAAATTTCATCTATAGCTAATGAATACAATGTAATATGAAACAAATAACCGGGCAATATTTCTGTGACTTCAGTGATGTATTCCCTTTCGTAACGATACTCCAATTTACCATTTAATTTGCGAGCGATTATGACGGTAAGAAAAATACTTGCTTGAAAACGCATTTCTGGTTTAAATTAACGAGCAATGACAACTAGTAGGCGCAGAATAGCAACCAAGTCTTTCTGATGAATACGTTCGGAAGCCCATCGTTGACTGACCCAACTTTCTGATACATGAAGTACTTCGTTGACAGTTTGTAATACACCCTAAACCTCAGTTAGTTAGTATTGTTAAAGTTACACGCAAGCGTTGAAGCTGTCCAATTTCAGATAGCGTTAACTCAGGATGATCGAGCTTTATCTTCGCTAGTTTTCCAACTAAATTTTGCAGAAGTTGATCGTCATATAAGTCTTCTTGAATATCTTCACGATAATTCGATGTTCTGATAGTTCGCTGTTAATCCATGTCAATAATTTGTCCACTAAATTCTTAACACTTTCAGAATTCTATGAAAGTTTTAGAATAATTTAAGTAAGATCATAAGCATGCTTGCGACGACTTCTCAGTAAAAGAACGCTCTTGTCCTTCTTCCGATTGATATTGTTTGGGGTCGTCAGTTGTTAAAGCACTAACTGCCATTTCGATGGCTTGACGACTTCCTTTATTGAGTTCTTCAACTTCCAGGCGAGCTTTTCGCTTACGCTTGAAAGTGTCCAACTTTGAAAGAATAGAATCGTGACTTTTTAATCCTGCTATAGTAGTCATTATAATTTAAGCTGAATTCACCAAAGCATAAAGCAAAATGATGAATAATTTTGATGAGCGACAGATTAACTGAAAATATTACTCCATTGCAAAAGCGCAACAATTGTATGACCTAGGTAAAGAAAAATCTCTAGCACATCCTTTTTGCAATGATTCTTAAAAATTTAATATATTAACAACACATCTCATAACACCAAACAGAGATAGAATAAAGGCTTTTACAAAAGGCGTATTGAGAAGTAGTTGGTCATGCACGACATGGAAGCTGCCGCACTCCATCAGGCCGCTAAGGTAGCTACAGTATCAGAAGCAGAAAAACTGCGTATATATAAATTTGGGATTTCGGGACTTAGGTTCTAAATGACGTGAAGAGTACACGCGCCAATACCACTACAAACGAGCCTGAGTAGCGTCACTCTGCGCCTTTAATCACTGGTTACGATAGTCGTGCGGACCACAGCCAGGTAGCCCACACCTATCTACATGGCTTTCTCTGTGTTCTCAAGAAGTTGTTCCTAGGGCTCTGCGACTACGCCAACAGGTTCCGAAGTCCACTACTAATCCAGTCCTAATCTCCCAATTTTGGGGAAAATATGACCCATTCTGGAAAAACCACCATAGTAAACTTTGAGGAAATGGCACGAAAACCCCAATATTTCGCCAGAATCTTTTTACGCTTTAGGGAAGTCGGCTTGTATTTATCAATAAAACCCCGACATTTTTCACAATTTCGGGGAAATTTTGCGTCTTTCCCCGAAATTTCCCCTGACTTCAGGGATGCATTATTACAATTTCCCCAAAGTTGGGAGCTGGGGATGTATTATATCAGGATGTACGTTAACATGCACTCTGATATATTAATTAACAAGCGCTGTTGTATCGCTAATAAAAATACTACCGGTGTATTCACGAAGCAGTAAGGCTTGAAACAAAAATGTAAAAACAGTGTTGAAGCAGCAGACTGACAATAAACACATGATATATGCAACCCGTTAAGTTCAGCTTTTCATAAATTCGGATCTACTCTAAAAGCACTTTGTGAGTGGTAATGTGAAAATCTGGAACAGAAAAAACTACAAATAAGCTGCAAACTGGGCAATCACAACCAATCTAGTAACCAGGAATAGGTGGCGCTAATATTTGAAATAGTCCAAATGGTTCAAATGGTTGTGGACGGAATAGAAGAAGCTTTCGCTTAACAGGCTTTCGTGTCTAGTAGCAGGTGATCACCAAATCCTCCAGGCAGGAACCTAGGTATGTTAACAATAAAACAGGAAAAGACATTAGTATATCATAGTGCGATACTATCTTTAGTCCTCAAGGATAGATCAAGTTGCCTCTTAAAGGACTCCTGGGAAGTCGCTTGAACTAGTTCAGCCGGCAGCGAATTCCAGTATTTACAACTCATAAGGAGTACAAGTTGTGCCTACAACCTCTTCTACAATGTTGCCTCCAATTTCTGGGTGTTAACCCCTAGGTTTGTGTTGGAGCTAAACTTAAGTAGGTGTTTAAGGGATTTCCAGAAGTGTTAAGGATACTGTAAGCTATCAGAAAGTCACCTCTAAGACCCCTATATTCTAATGGGTAAAGTTTGTAGCGGTAAACACATCCCCAAAATAAATAGCTCTGTAAGTTTTCGACATTGGATGATGACCACTTTAGTTTTAATGGACTAGCTTAAGGCGCTCGGTCATGCATCCGCACCAGATCACGAGCTGGAACGTCCTGCTCAACATACCTTGCAATCGCTAGCCAGATTAGATCAGTCGATCCCCGATATATTGATAGCTCGTCAAATATATCTTCAAGCCTCTTCGCTTCTGTCTTTTGACTTCACTTGGTGGGTACGCTTCATATAAAAGGTGTTACTGGTTAAAGCGTTGTCAAACTCTGAATGCCTGTGGCATCTTCAAGGTCAAGTGATTGGAGGCGCCCTTCATAAGGTTCAAATTAGAGTCCCCGAACACATTTCGTGGCTCGCCGCTGGATACGCTGTAGGGTGTCCTTATCCCTAACGACAATTTGTATCTCATTTCCGTAGTTATTTGACGGTGCCTTCCGGTATTCCACATTATCCGGATATTCCACGCACCTATATTATTTAAGGCTCTGGTTGTTGGAAGGGGCATCAGCCTCGAGATTTTTGAAGAATCTCGGCTTTCACCATGAGGCGTAATAATTCTCATAAATACAGATCCTTCAACTCTCAGGGCAGAGTATAAATGGTTTGAATTTTCTAATGATAAGTGTATACTTAGCAAAGTTGTTTTCAGCGGGATGCGGTTTCTGATTCCATGTTAAACCCTCTTCACTTATCCCGTCTTGTGATTGGTAGTAGCTCATTGATTGGGTATCCTATGAGTGGGGCGTGTGAATTAGTTAGTTGTTGTTTGAAATGCTAAGAGCAAGAGCTGGTGATTGTTTTGGTCCTCCTCAATTCAAGCTGTGAGGTGAATGAAGTCTTGCTAGATGGCCACAACACTTGGTCATAAAGTGATCGATGTTTAATCTTAGGAGACTTTAACGCCCCCACGATAGTCTGGAAAAATCTGAGAACTGAATCATCAAAAAAGTCTTTGGGGCAGAGACTAGTTCACGTGATTATCACATGTGCCCTAGTGCAACATGGGAAAGAAGCAACTAGATACGACCCAGACTCCGAATCATCCTTAATATATCTCATTTTGATCCATTACGACGATGACGTCACAAACCTTGATTATATGCCATACTCAGGTAAAAGTGATCATGCAGTTCTAATCTTTGATTTCAATATAGTTGTCATTAACGTGCATGTGCCAGCCCAACGTAGTCCTAACGTCTGGAAAGCAAATATAAATATTAAACACTCAGCATCCACAATGGATTGGATAATAGAGCCAGAGTCCCCGATTGAAACGGCTTTCTATGTACTTGAGAATTTGTACTGTATCACACGTTCCTTTTACTACATCAAGGGTTCCGAGAAAATTTTTATTGTCGTTCAATAATGAGATTTGAACTTTATTGCTTTAAAGAGGAAGAATATGGGCTAGATTTAAGTTAATGATACTGACGGGATAACGTATAATATCGCGAAATCGAAATATTTATGTCTTGACCCTTAGCAAGTTCAGAAGTTTGTACGAATGAAAACTTGTTAAAGAATCTATGGCATACAGTAAACGTCTAAACTCGCGCGTAAACCAAAGGGTTATGAGAAGAGGAATTATTCCAGCATTATGAGGAGACAGTAGCATTTCATAATAAGTGAAGAACCGCCGTGGTAAGGCCAGATATCCTCAAACTAATTTAACAGTTTATGAGCCGTAGAGACGCCCTTTCCTTCAGTTCAAACGAGCTCCCTCATACACACACACTGGAAACTGTGACCATCAAAGAACTCAATGTTTTTGATCTGTTAAACAAGCTTGACATAGACGAGTCCACGGGACCCAATGGGATGCATCATAGACAACTAAAAGAACTAGATAATTTCGTCTCAAATCCCTTAAGCATATGTATCAATCTATCCGTAACCCGGGGTCGATTACTAAAAAGCTCTAGAAGAACAATGTACCAGGTCCTGTTCCGCTTCTCGGCACTCTGAGCTAAGATCATGTGATAGAAACAGGTACGAAACATAAATATGAGACCTGATGGTCTGAACAGCGTGGTTGTTAAATTTTTGGAAAAGACTATTCAGAAGGAGCTGTTTAAGTATCTTGATGAAAACCGAATTTTCCAGAAAAGCAGAATGGTTATAGAACAAGTTATTTCTGTCTCACTAACTTATTAGCGGCTCATGAAAGTTGGTGCTATCTTAAAGACCAAAAGTTACCGATAGACGTAGCCTACATTGACTTCAGCAAAGCTTTTGTCAAAATTCCTTACAACCGGATATTATATAAGTTAAGAAATGTTGTGGTTGGAGGCCAACCATTAATTTGGATAAAATACTTCCTAGTTAGACGCCAACAAAGAGTATGGCTGAAATTGGGGTTTTCTTGCTGAGAAATCGTGCTTAACGGAGTATCTCAGGGTGCAGTTTTGAGGCCAATGTTGTTCCTCTTCTGCGTAAATGACCTTCCCAGTATCTTATCATCATCGGTTTTGCTATATGCTGATGATGTCAAGATGTGAAGAGCAATAAAAAGTAAAGGTGAAACCTTAAAGCTTCAGAATGACCTGTAGAAATTATCTGGACGGTCTCAAATCTGGCGGTTGCTGGCAAATACTTCCAAGTGTATTGTGACTCCTATTGGTCATCAAGGTACAGATAAATGCACGATGAATAACATTGAGCTACCTGTTACCCAGACACAAAATGACTTAAGGGTCATCGTCAGCCAAGATTTAAAGACTACTGCACACTGCCGCGCAATAGCCGCCAAAGGTTTTACAACCCTACTGGGTCAGTACGCAGGGCATTTACCCATGTCGACAGTAAAACTTTCCTGACTTTGTACACAGTATTCGCGCGTCCTAAACTTGAGCAGTGCATACAAGCGGCTAGCCCCTGTTTAAAAAAAGACAGTGAGCTTTTGGAAAAGGTTCAGAGAACAGTAACTACGCTGATTCCTGGAATGGCAAATCTCCCGTAATATTTTCAACTGGCTGAACTAAACGTATTTCTATTATCATATCGAAGGACCAGAGGTGACTAGGTTTCAATCTTCGAAATAATTAAAGGGAAATTTGGATCTGATATTGCTCTCATTTTTCTTGGCTTCCAAAATACAGAATTTACGAGGACACTTCAGAAAAGTTCAAAAGCCAAGAACAAATTACATGTCAGCTGACCATCGGCCTTCCCATCGAATCATCAACCAGTGGAATTCATTACCTCAACACGTGGTCGAAGCTTCATCTGTCAACGCTTTAGAAAGAAAGTTGAACGAACGGCGACCACTATTCGGACTGACACTGGCCATCTAGCCCACTGCCTTTACAGACTGAAACTGAGGCCGAAAAGTGCGACAAGGCATTCCAATATAATTCTCAAACAGTACTTAACAGTT